TAGTTAACTTTCAGCCACACCAGCCTCTTATTTAAGAATGTTCACTTTGTCTGGTTTTGTTGCAGTCTGCCCCATGTATAAACCACCACCAAGAGATATTCAAAGAATGCTGATTCTTGAAATTACCAACAGTGCCAATACCAACATGGTAATGGAGTGTTTTTTTCAAATGAACATATTGGGATGGATGCTGGAGCAAAACTGAAACCACCTGGTATATGTACAGTATTTTACTAATCAGAGAACATTGAGGATGGCACAACAATGGTTTGCAACACACCATTCTACAGTGACAAGAGGAAATTACTGATAAAGTTGGAACACAAATTGAGCCTATTACTATCTTGAACAATTGCCACACCAAAACTCTACTATTTATTATTGTTATTATTGTTGTTAACTGATGATTTATCATACAGAAAAGGCTAGTATATTGTCTGGATCATATCTTCTTTACACCAACATCATACTCACCCAAATATAAATTGATCAATTGAACAATTTTCTCCTACCACTATCATGATTGTCATGCTTTTAACAGTCTTTACATGATATCCCTAATTAATGATAAAAATTCCAAATATACCATACTAATACAGTCATTTCCTAAATAAACAATGATGGAAATTTTCCTATTATAATTTTACCTGTTGGAATCCCCTTTTGCAATCTGAAGACACTGCCAAATTTTTACCCCTACAACCTTTACAACAAGAATTGGTCTATCAAATCATTGGTAAATTCACTTTATCACAAGCCACTTCTATTAATATAACCATCACTATGAGTATCCTCTATCTCTGTCAGAAGAAAATGTCCCCATTTCAAAACCCATTATTTCTTTAGTTGGACACATCAATGCAGAAGCAAGTTTAACAAAATCAACTAGAAGTGTCTTGTGTTGCTGGCCAATTTCATCAGCTGGCCATTATCTGTTAGAGCTTGTTGTAGGGAAATTTGTTACAATGAAATCTTGTTGTAAGAGACACAATTTGCTACCAAAATACCACATGATCAGTTTAACTTCCACTTTGTTTTTATTTTTTGTTTAACACTCAGTCTACCATTATGTCAATTATTTATGCCTAATGGAAACAGATAATGTGATGCTATGATTGAAGGTTTTGCATTACCATCTCGGTGAGGGAAGCCTTTCCCATTTTGCAAGAACAATAATTTGAATTTTATATAAATTACTATTTTCAACATTGGGTATAATTAGTCGAATAGAAGTATTATGTTTAACTTTACCGATATTTTTTCCCATTAGTAACCTTTTTGACAAAAAAAGAGAACAGCTGAGTTTAAAGTCTTGTTTTTTTAAATTACTTATTGAATTTTTTACCAAAGATTTCTTAACTAATGTCTGTATGTTCAAATGAAACTATAAGCATAGACAGGTGACAATAGCCACAATAGAAAAACAAACCAATATTTTATAAACTACTCAAAATTCACATGTTTAGTAAACCAATAAAACCAACAAATTATTTTTGTCATTCAAAAAATTTAGTAAAATACTTGTATTCACATAACTTTAAAACATAGTGAATGCAGTTATAATGGAAAGTTGGAACATAACCAATGAACACCATGATAACACAAATTTCCATAGTAAGATATGTTATCAATTACAAATCATATGTGTTCAGTGTTCTGAAGTGGTGCTTGCTTAAGTGGTTTTTCTGGTTCTTGTTCGTTTTGCTATTGGTTCTTTGTTGGTGGTTGTGGCATCGGTCTTAGTTTGTTGGTCTTAATGGCTGAGTGAGCAATTTCAGTTACTTTTGTTGGTGTTTGGGTTGAATTTTTTTCATTCTCTGTTGATTCTCTTTTGATAGTAGCAGTTGGTTGTTGGATTTGTATGGACTGGTGGACAGCAGCTATTCTGTTTTCAGTAGTAGATTGGATTTTTTTGTTTTTATTTTTGTTTTTGCTCCTCCAGTACACCAATCAGATATAGTAATGCCCCCATATGTTTTTCCCAACGAAGTACACAATGAAGATGCACATTATAGTCAGGGGAAGTTTCGATAATATGAGATCTTTATTGACAACTATAGAAAACTGCTAAAGCTGTTAATTATTCTCGCTTAGCCATAGGCTTTCTGCAAAGTGAAAATGAACAACAAATACCATTATGCTTCTCTGATCCCGAATTGGAACTGATAATATTCCCTGATTTATTTCCTGATGGCACAGACATTATGGAGACTTATTTAACCAATCAACTGAAAATGATAACTGCTCCTTGACATATGGGAAATATCCAGGCTCATGGGATTTGACTCTTGCTTTAGATTACATCCCATATGGATGATGTGGTCTTATACGCAATTAGAAAAACTTCGAAATTTCCAAAATACCACACACATTTACTGACAAAATTCTGTTGATAATATGACTTCTCAACTTTCTACTATACAATTGTTGCAGCAGAGTCATTACACATCAAATGATTATAGACAAAAACAAATCAATACCTTTACCCACATTTATTCATATGGGCGATTCTTATTTCAAAGAAAAAGAACATCATTTAAATACAATGGTAAAGGCTAAAGGCTTACCTTCATTATTCATAACTCTATCAATGGCTGAAACCAAATGGATACACTTGAGAGAAATTCTTCATAATACAGATAGTGGGGATATAAATCCTACAAATCGTCCTTAACATGCAGTTATGCATTTCATACAACGATTTCGATCCTTGAAAAAAAGACTCTGGAATAATAGACATGTTTGTGGATAGAAGTCCATCAGGGATTTTTTTGAATGCATAGACTTTCAAAATCGTGGAGCAGTACATCTATATCTTGTCCTTTGGACCGAAGCAACTATAGAAGAAATGATTGCCTTGGACGAAATTCGTGCTACTATGCCTGATCCTGATAATGAACCTGAACTGCATGCAAAAGTATGTATGCACCAAATACATACATGCCAAAATCGCTACTGTGGAGGTCCTGCTCCTTCTGGTGAACAATGCAAACATAGTTTTCCCCAGCCTTTATCTCCTATAACATACACAGTGGCTCTCTTTATAGTGGAGACACAAAATCCAACAGTTTTCTACACTATAACGAGCTATACACAAAAAAGAAATCTCACCATATAGTGTATTTTAATAATATATCATGTGACATACACTATAGCGAATTTGATTAAAAAGCAGTTTATTGAAAAAAAAGAAGGTAAATGACTGCAAAATTCACTGAAAGTATTGGATAATGCTAGACTGGTGCTTGTTTTCAATATCATTTCGAAGAATTTGATGCTTTAAACTATTTAACGTTTTCATAGTTACAAAATCGACTCCCCCGAGATTATTGTGTTGTACATATTTTACCACATTCGCTAACCCTTCCAAAGCATCCTTTACTTTTATCAAGGATTCAGACTCTTCATTATTCTCTGGCTCTTGAGTATCTTCACTGTTTACAAACTTGACAATTTCCTCATCCATCATTTGCTCCTTACTCACAACTTGATTATCAACCAGAATATACTCTTCCACAGTCAGGGGATCAGAAATATGTAGCATTTGGTCAATGAGGACTATGAGTTCTTGTTCAGCTTCAGCATCATCAGAGAGTGGATCAACCTGCTACTAGATCATTATCCAAAGCCATAGAAGGAGGAAGTATACCTGTACGATACCAACTATTTTTGATCGTGGTTTGTGTTACAGAATCCCAGGCGGCAGTGGAAAATTCAATCGCATCTCGAATGGTAAGTGAACTTGGAATAGGAAATTCAGGGGTAATAAGTTCATAAGCTTCAAGTCGATTTTGACATAAGATTCGTCGATAATGCATCTTGGCAATAAGTGGAATACAATTTTTATAAGATATATGCCAGGAAATATTTGAACAGAAAAAATATGCAGAGTGACGACGACACTAATTATAATACCTTCAAGCTGTAAATAATTCCTTGGTTGATTGGCTGTAAATATGATGTTGTATTAGGAGGAAGAAAGTAAACTCGAACATTAGAAAGGGTTTCAAGGTTTTCCGTTTCATGACATTTGGCATTATCCATTAAAAGAAGAATATTCCAATCGGCTCTATGCATTATGCTATTAAGTCGGTTGAGATAATGAGCAAAGACCGATCTTTGCATCCAAGCCTTGTTATTGAAGTAATACCATACTGGAAGGGTATTTTTATCAATTCCTCGAAGAGCAACCGGAGTTTTGAATTTGTGAATAAATAGTAAAGGCAATTTTTCTCCCATTGAACTGCATGTTACCATAATACTAACACGATCTTTAGACATTTTCTTTCCAGCTACAGGTCCATGGGCGAGAGTTTGACTTGGCTCGAGTTTCCAAAAAAGTGCCATCTCATCGCAGTTGAAGATATTTTCTGGAGAATACTCATGAAGAACCTCTTGCAATTCTGCCCGAAATCGTGGAATTTCTTCAATTGGGGCACTTGCCGATTCTCCTCTTCGTTTATATGAGCTAAGTCTATTTCGTTTTTTAAACTTTGCAAGCCATCCGTCGGAAGCATTAAAGGCTTTAACACCAAGTCTTCCGGCAAACCATTTTGCTTTTTCTTGAACCATATGCCCTTGTAGTGTAAGCCCTTGAGCAATGGCTTGATCAACCCAAATTATCATTGCTTCTTCAATTTCGGGAAAGGTGCTTTTTCGATCGCGTTTGAATCTGGCGGTAGTTGATTCTAGTTCAAGGTGTAGCCAATGTGAAGACCTTTTGAGAATTTTAGAGATAGCTTGCTCACTAATTCCAAAGTCTTCCGCTAGTTCTCGGCCTTTTATTGAGGGGAAGTTTCTTTTTTTTTCACATAATTCCCTTTTTCTGAAAAAATAATTTCGAATTAACAAGCAATCTCACACATTGTCTAAAATAATAGAAACTCTCACATTATCATAGTTCTCTTAGTTCTTTATAACAAGTAATAAAGGTCCTTGCTTTATTATTTTTTATCAATTACATACTTTGCCCCAGTCAAGGCGACACGCTTTTTGAATGTTTCTTGGCCACCTCTATCCCTAGACTGTGAGAGAGCCATATCAACTGTCTGTTCCTCAATAACAAAGAAGAAAAACTTTCTTCGCTCTAATCTGACTAATCATTACCCCTCCACTATATCGAACGAAAACTACACAATATAGCGATTTCGTACTACATACACTATATAGAGGCGCTCTAGACTATAATCAATCAAGCATATTTCCTCCACTAACCGAAATCTGCATAGTTTCTATATAAATGCACTATATAGAGCTAGTTTAATTAGGAGGGAAAAAAGTTTTCAACATTTCTCCACAATAACTGAAATCCACTGTAGCGGAGGTCCACTATAAAGAGAGCCACTGTGTATCTAGGTCGTTACATAATCTATTTCAGGTGTGAAATCTATTTCGGGAATGTACAACTCGATGCTCAATCATGTGTCCATGCATCACATTAAGAGCGAAGCTCATGCCAGATACTTCGTATCATTGTTCCACAATAGGCATAGAAAAATCGACGTATAAACTTTTATCTCAATACAAGACACACCACATGACATGATATATAATCTCCCCAACTCGAATCCTTTATTAGAAAAGCCAGTATGGTCGATACAATAAAAATACATGATAATTTATACAATATCTCTATACTTACCTAATAATTAATAGGGTGGAGATGAAACAGTAGGACTCGGGTGTATATTTCGGGGTGGGTTGCCTGTATTAGTAAGCTCTTATTAACTATCATGACGTTTCTTAAGGTCAATAGCAAGCGAACGAGAGCTTTAGTATTCGATGCGTGTGGTGATAATGGAATTTCAGCGTTATCAAGATGGAAATATCTTGGTATGCCACCCAGATCCTTCATAAGAACATTTAATCGCATAGTAGTGCCAGCGATTTGTATTCCAACAATCCCAAATTGATTGCCAACCGGTCTACATAATGCATCCACAAAGCTCACTCCATCTAAAGTCTCTCTCCACAATTTGACATCATCGTCCGTTTTCTTTGAATTACTGCATAAAATACGTGAAGATTCAACATATAATAATTCTAAAATTTTGTCACCCCATTTCAACAGTCTCATAATGTCGGGTTTCTTCCCCATTCGTTCTCCGACTGCTCCTGCATTTCGTCGAGCCTTACTTGCTAGGCTCTGTCATTCTGCTGTCATTTACTAAGCTCTATTCTATGTCTCAACTCCAACACATGTCATAATGCATTCAACTATTCTCCCCATTACTGCTCTATGAACCCCATGATGTCTCTACGATCCAGCTCTGCCCCAACTAATAACGCCCAACTGCCTCTCTTGCAATATAGCACAAAACCAGTAACAGTATTCAAACTCTTCTCCCCGTTGCTCCTCCCAATAAACGTGTATTCACTGCTTGCTTACCGTGTGTTTCGATGTATTTTCTATATTCGTCTCGTGCTTCCTCGTAGGTTGCTTCAGGTTTTTCTCTGCCATATTTCATACAGAACTCGCCTTCAGTCATTACTCTTGCGTCTACGTCCATTGGGTCCATGTCTTGGTGTTTTTCGTACGATAATAAAAGAAAAGTCGCGATATGGCTTTGCACCCGCCAAACTAGCCCTCTTTATATGTTAACGTTCGTCATGCGCGTACTTTCCCTCCCTTGCCCATTTTCCGTAATTTTAATGTAGATCTTATCCGACCTATTACTATATTAATTAAAAAAAATATACATATACAGTCGACCTCCCCTATAGTCACACAGTTGGGACCAGATAAAACCTGTGACTGTATGGGAGTGTGACTGTATAGAAGGAAGACTTATATTAGTCATGTGACTATTATTATAATTCTGTTATTTTATTATTATTAGATCACAAATTTCATGCTTATTTTCTATACTCTGTCGAGATTGTGTTTTAGATAAATGCTTTGACATTTCTTTGAAATTATTTTATTTTCGACTTGCAGCGATATTTAAATCAATAAATACAACAATTTCTATCGTACTAATAATGCGAATGACGTTATTAAGTTGATTATGTTATACCCAAATATTTATTATTATAAAGCATGATATGATTAATAACACGTGCATTTGAAATTTAAGGAAAGGTGTTACTGGTTGGTCTTGAATGTAACACAAGTATTTGGTGGCTAAAAAGGGGGAATTTTTCATATTGTACAATAGTAATAGTAACAGGATTCAAAATCGGCTATAATATGATATTCATATTATATTCATAATACAGTATTATAACAGTAATGCCATGACCCATAATGCACAATGACTGTCATGACCCATAATGCATAACGGTGATGCATAACGACTCCCCCACTCTACCTCGCCAGTGCTTTTATAATTTGGGCATTTAAAATTAGTAAAATAAAATATATATATAAATTTACAGCTTATGAAAAAATATCGTTGACTCTGTTACTATATTTGTTTATGCTTATCAATTCTTAACAAGATTTTTGGCCACTTTGTAACTTTGAAAATGCCGTGATGACTTATCATTATAACTAACACTCTTAGTCACTGGACATTTCCCCAAATTTTTGTTGACTTACAAGATCATATGGGCAGACTGCAACAAAACCAGACAAAGTGAACATTTTATTATGTGACATAAATGAGAGGCTGATTATGATGTGGCTCTAAAATTGACCAGTGTGACTGATGAAGTTTTGAAAGGTAATAATAGTGTTACGGTCGGGAAATAAAAATGGGGTTTGGGGGAGAGCGATTTATCTTTTCGTGTAGGTGTGTTCGCCGACCGGGGGATGTTACCAGGCTTAGCTCGTACTATCGCC